GGGCTAAATTTTAATTTTGCGTCTATGCCTTCCCGTCAATAATATATTTTGTATTTTATAGGGTTTTAGCTGTTTTGAATGTGACGAAGTTATAAAATCGATCAAAAATATCGAAAATTGCAATTCATGATCCTTAAAAGCAATTTTACACATTTTCGCCTAAAAAATTCACAATTTGTCGATAATTTTTTCTTGGCGTTTGTTCTCTAATAGCTATGTAAAATGCTACAAAAATGGTCTATATTTCGCTATATTGCCGTGCCTCCATGTCTAGCCTGCTGAGCCTATATCTATATATATCCCCTCCGCTAACAGGCTAGTACCAAACCTTGTAGTTCTACGTAAAACAATAAAATACAAATAACTTTCCACCCCCCGTCTCTGTTAGACAAATTCTTTCCCGAATGCTATGGCGAGCTGATGAGCCACAAGGAATCATCGAGAAACGCTGGTGCTGATGCTGGGAGTGAAACTGTACAGAACGCTCCGCAAAAACATCCGCTTTATATCTGGCCCCGAGGCCGCCCAGGGGGATTCTAGAATACCGGAAATTTGCAATTTATCCTGCCCTCGATTAATTGAAGACTATTTCGGGGGCTGTTGTACAGAATCCTCAGGGGGGCCACAAATGAGCTTCCTGTATAGAAGATCGTACAGCACCGGGTTTTTCCAGGAAATTGGGAAAAAGTTTCGTTTCGGGCGGGGTTACGGTAGGGTTCTGGACTGAAGTTGGTGTAGAACTGAAATCAAGAGTAGTTCCTAAAAATAGACGAACAAAGTGCTGATGTTGTAGGCAAAAGGTTTTAAAACTTTAAAAAATCGCTAAAACGCCAAAAATGGTTCTTTGGCATTATCGGGGGGAGGGGTTACAGTTCAGAAATGCCGAGTAATGTAATTGTAAGTACCCTTATTATGTATTTTTTGAGCTAATTTAGCTAAATTTCAAGCCGTAATAATGTCCATTAGGTTTTAAAACTTGAATTTTGGTCGACTTCGGCCATTTTTGGTCGAAAAATCGCTATTTTTTGTATTTTAGTAAAATGTGTCGTTTTTACGTTAAAAACAGAAAAAAGAGTGCATTATCAAAATACCTAAGCCAAATAAAGGTGAAAAATCTATTATCGCGAAAAAGCCTGGAAATTTTCTGACTAATAGGTCGGAAAAGCGGCTTATGAAAATTTCAAAAAAGGTTGATAAACAATCTGAAAAATACTTCTAAAAAATCGCCACCGAATTCGTGAAAAAAATCGCTAAAAAAGTCACGAAGCCTCCAAAAATTCGCAATCTAAACGACCGTGAAATATACAGGCCAACTGGAAATCGTTAGAAAATAGCTAAAAACTAGTAAAAAACGCTTGATAATCAATCAAAAAAAAACTTCTAAAGAATAGCGAACGCGGAATTTGTTACAAAAACGTCAAAAAAACCCCACAAAAACCCCTAAAAGTAGCTATCTAAAACGCTTTCAACTAAAAATAGGCAACTCGGCAAAAGCTCAAAAGTGGTTATGGCATTGTGTATCGAAAGGAATGTTGTAATATTGTAATGGTGTGACCCGAGAGGCCCTCGTGTCCCGGTCGCGTACCAGCGGGGTTGGGCTGGGCGGTTGTCGGCTATGGCTGACCTCCGATGACCCTGCAGTGCCGCAATGGTTCCCCATCGGGGGGTGGTCTCTTCTTTCGCCCCCCTCACAGCCGCTATGCAAATTGCCACCCCCATCACCGCCCATAAAAACAGACACCTGTGGCGCCAGCGCCCAGCCCCCCAGGGGAACGCCGTTCAAAAGCTGCCCATGCCAACAGGTAGCCCCAGCCGACTGCGCCTTGTTGATTCACGCCTGAAAATGGGATTTGGTAAGGTGGTATTGTTAAGGTACTAAATATATCATGATTGATCTAAAAAAGAGTTTAGCCATTTCCTTAGATCGTTTAGATATTTTAAGCTCGTCTTCACAGCAGTTTTTGATGCCTAGAGAATTACCTTAAAAATTTTGAACCTTTCTAAAAAGTTGAAATTTCGGAAATTTCGACCATTTTCCGGACATTTTTGACGAAAAAGCAACATTTTCGAAAATGGTGATAGCACTTTATAATTTTTATATCTAAAACAGCGTAAGCTGCGATAAAAATAGCCAATATTTCTTAACAAATTTGAAAATTTGAAAACTTGATATCTCTGACTAAAAAGTGAGAATTCTTTGAGCTTTTCGTAAATACCGGAAACGTATACCTAAACACGGCAAAATACAACTAATATAGTTTCTATATCATTACAGGGCCATTTAGGATTACTAGAGGAAAATCGCGCTTAGATTCTTCGTCTAACCAATCCATGATAGTTTGCAAGGCTCCCAGAAATTCCCCATGCCTCCCAATGCCATCTTCACCCCAGTCCCACACCCAGAAATTCAAAAAACACCGTCGGTTATTTGCCCGGGCAGCGGGGCGTAATTGTATGCCTATTTGCGGGGCTCATTAGGATGCCGTGGGCAGACCGGACAAGGGCGATCCGATGCATTCAAAGGGCTCTGAGGAGACGGGAGTAGGGGATGGCCCCGAATGCCCCCAGTTGACCTGCTCAGCGGGCCGTTGCGCAACTGGTGTCTCCTCCATAGCCACACAGCACAGCACCGGCGACACATTTGAATTCCACCGCACAGCCCGGGCTTCATCGACCTGAACTGCTATAAAAAAGCGGTTCTGGTAGGTTAGGGGGGGAGGGGTGGAGGAACTTAACTTCCTTTATAAGAGTTTCCTTCAGAGCAATAAAAAAAACTAGGTTTATAGCTTTAGTTTAGTAGTTTACTAACACTAAAAAGTGATAAAGATTAAAACAAATCGAAAGTTCGTCGAAATTCTGTGCAAATTTGAACTTTTGTTATCTAAAAAGAATGGATAATTTCATCATAGAGCGGATCTGGAAATATAAAAAAATTGCGGACGCCCGCTAACTCACCAGTACAAAAATAGCCTTTTGAATGCGTTTTCGGGGTTTTTTTTCGCGTACAACACTCTCTTTATCCAGAGAATCACAAATTGGCTATGTTACAAAGTTGCAAGTCGATCACACAGAGGACTAAAATTAAACGGGGGGTCAATCACCAGAAGAAAGTAACCACAGGAGGATAGACAGTTATTCACAGAGGCGCAGGAGTTTATCACAAGGGTTTTTCAGTGGATGGGCATCTAACAGCAAAGTGATAGCAAAACGCAAAAGGATTCCTTGCCGACCCCAAGAAGTAGCACACTTTAGCAGAACACGTTGAGGAAAAAGGGAAAAGGCATGGAATCATATGGCGAAGGGCGAATAAATTAGTCGGGATTTGTATTGCAAGGCACAGTTTAGAGGATGATGGCGGCAGTCTCGGGGGCGAATCGTTCCCAGGCTTTGAGGAGCTAAAAATGGAATGTTTAGAAGATAGATTTAGCCTTACATCTTGCTGTTCGGAAAGGAGGGATTCAAGGAACTCTATGATAATCTCCTTGAGGTCTTCACGGCGCTGTGCATCAAAGCGGCCCACTTCGTCGCGGACGAGCCGGGACAGGTCGCCGAAATCCAACTAGAAACAAAAATGTAACTCTTAAACTTGACCAACCTCGAGCTGATCAACCTTGCGCTCCGCGTCGTCCATCTCGTCCTTGGCCTGCTGAGCCTTGTCGGTGCGCCCAGCCAGCTCGAACCTGTAAGAAAAACAAATTGTCGAAGAAAATTTTCAAACCTGGCCTTCTGCTCGCGCTTCCTGGTCAAATTCTGCTGAGCAGCCTGCCAAGCTTGCCACAGCCGCACGCGCTCGTTGAACACGTCTTTCAGACTTTGGAAGAGGGCGACGTACTCGCCAACAGATTCCACCAGCTTTGCTTGATCGTTTTCCGCCTGAATAAATTTCAAATAACGAGGAGAAAGTGGAACCTGGCGTCCGAAGCATCCAGCGACGTTTTCCTCGGTCTCGGCCAAATGGGAGAGAGCACGAGCTAACGCGGTTGATTCCTCGCAAGAAGCGAGCATCGAGACAGCCTACGAAACTTGTTAAAAACGTAAAAATCAATGCCTACCTTGGAAAGACTTTCGCAAGAGCCGTGCAGCTCCTTCCGTTGCTGGTGCAAGTTTTCGGCCAGAGACAGCAATTTGCGGAGAAGTTCTTCGAGCTCCTCGACATGCGATTGGGTCTGCTCAAACCAGCGATCACCCTCCTCCATGTGGAAAGCTATTTTCGTGAAAGCCTAAAACAAATGATTCTTTCTCGAGCTCAAACAGCAAACCTCGCTGACACTCTTGAAAAGACGCTTGACTCCGGCGGACGAGAGAGTGGCAGTATTGCTGGCCTTCGGCAATTCGCTGCTCATCGTCAGGAAATCCCGGACGTCACAATCGGTTCGCATTTTTGGGTGCTAAAAGAGACTATTTGGCGATGACAAGAAAACTATTACCTGAACGACACGAAGCAGGAACCGCTGCAATTGTCGTGACCGCTCCGTTCCGATGTTGTTGTTAATCGACTGATCGTTGTTCCCAGACTTTGTCCTAAAAATGCGAATTAATGTCTAACAAAGTCGCTTACTTTGTCATAGCAGCCAGGCTTTTCTCCGGGGGACTCGGAACAACGATTCCACGGCGTAGGAATTTGTCGACAAGCTTCTCATGCAGCCCGAGGAAGTCTGAGAAGCGCCGCCAGACCTGAAAAAAAGTTTTAAAATTATGAAAGAAAGAAAACCTCATGGGTACGGTCAGAGATGCCGGGAACATTGCGGGCCTCGGTCAAGATCTTGTAAACGAGGTACGCGTTGATTCCCTCGCCACGCTTCTCGAAATGGTCAATCTATAAAACGGTTTATAACCACGAAAATTGCGCTCACCGTGATAGTAAGAGTCCAGTCCTTCTCGTAAACGCGTGGGCTGCTGCCGGAGGATGATGACGACGAATTGGCAGTTTCATTGACTTTTGCGACAGCTTGCACGGGGCTGACGTGAGAGTCGTCCAAGCGCAGCTTTGAGCTCGTCATATGCTCGTCATCGTCGTCGTCCAGCAACAGGTCGGTGAGCTGAAGAAAATCGTTTCAAAGAGCCTTGTCAGGATTACCGGTTCCTGAGTCGATGGCGCTTGCAGGGGTGGCGAATCGAAGCGCTCTCCGTTGGGGTGGTTGTCATCGGCATCAAGCATTTCCCCTGGAAATTCTGGGCTATAGTGGGGTGCTGCTTTCCAAACAGCCGTGCACGGATCACAGGGAAATCAACGGAAATCGATGACGAACAAGGCGCGTTGTGAAACCGGGAAACAAGCCAAAAGCGGGCAATTCGTAATAAACTTCAGAGCGGAATTTGCTCCAGCAATTAACTTCTGCTTCGCTTTCGTATTCAAAAAGTTAAGGAAAAAGACGATTCTGTTTCTAGCTATTGATTGGGAGGTCAAAAACATCTAAATCCTATATAAAAACGAATGGAAAACAGCGTTTCAAGGTTTATTTTATCTAAACCATGCAAAAACATTGATTCAGAACGGAATTTTGATTATGAAACCGTTTCGGCAAGCTTTCGAGCGGATATAGAGGGAATTCGCTAAGCGGCGCGACAACAATAGTAATATTAAGATATTAAGTAAGGTTATAAAGTTAAAAATAAGCGTTTTCTGAATGTCAGCGATCTATAAGGGTCGCTTTTACTGTTTATAAAAGCCGTTCATAGCTTTGTCAAGTCAAAGAGAACCGTTCATCCCCCGGGGCACGCTTTAGGCCACCGCCCGATTTGGCCATGCAAACGCCCACTCACAGCTCGTCCACGACAGCTGCAAAATGCGAATCGCGTTTCTAATCTTGCTACTAGCTGTTGGATTGACAGCTCTATCAAAATCAGACCGGAAAACAAGGCAAAAGGAGAAGGAGCCTGAGCCGGAACCCGAAAAGGAAAAGGCTCGCTCAACGGGGAATGAGCACGGAGGGATTGAGGTAGGTATTTTGGAAGCTTTTGAACTTTTTTAGACCGAACCCCTCGAATTTCCGGCCGCGAAGGTGACGAAAGAGAATATTCTCAAGAATGAGCAATTCGTGGATGCGAAAGAACGAAAATTCACCGGAGCATCGCTTGCCTACATCACCCCGGTTAGTAAAAACCAGATGTTTACAGTCGCTTCGCGACTGCAACCATCTGGCCTTCGGGCTACCCTACATGTCCTACTCCACCACATCCTTTCCCACCTCCATCAATACGCCCGATAGCCGAAATCCCGTTCAAAAACTACCTAAATACCTTCCCGATGGCTTCAGATACCCCCCATGGCTGAAATCCCCTTCAAAAACTACCTAAATACCTCCCTGATGGCTTCAGATACCCCCCATGGCTGAAATCCCGATCAAAAACCAGACATGGCAAACGGCCGGGCCGCCGGCTTTTTTCGGCCGGAAAAATTAGCATGCGGCCGAGCCGCACGGCTTGGCCGGAGCTTCCGGTCCGGCCCGGCTTTTTTATGTTTGAAAGCCGGAGCCCCGGCCAAGCCGCCGGCTTTTGAAAAGCCGGAAAGCCGGACCCAAATGAGATTTTCGGGTTTCCGGTAGGCAAATTGCGGATTCAATCAATAATTCGCTTTATGACAAGGGATAAACTATTCCACCATAGAAACTTTGTCATTTTCATGCACAATTTTGCATAGGATTCACGGATTCTCATGTAAATGAACAACTTCCGGTTTCCCGGCTCGGCCGGACCGGCTTGGCCGGGCCGCAACTAAATGCCGGCTGGGCCGGGAAGCCGGGTTTCCGGAAGTAAGTCATTAACGCGGCTCGTAGGGGGCCGGGTTTTTATGGAAATTAGGCCGGCGGCTCGGCCGGGCGGCTGGGCCGGCCGGGATTGCCATGTCTGTCAAAAACTACCTAAATACCTTCCCGATGGTTTAAGATACCTCCCCTAGCCGAAATCCCCTTAAAAAACCAAAATAAAGACCGACCGGATGGAATGAGAGAAAAAATAAATTAAATCCCCCGTGAAAATTTTCATCCACGAAACGCGCGCGACCTGGCTCACTATGTCCAAAATCACCCCAACCTCCGTCCACCACCCCTTTTACTAAGGAAAAAAACTTTCAAAGTTAATTTTAATAATTTAAACTAAAAGTTTTTCATAATTTTTTATCAGTTTGGGGGTTTCTGACCACGCTCTATCCGAATCCGAAGAGAGCTAAGCTCTAGCTCTTTTCCCCTTCGAGTTGAATTCGGCTTCACACAGACGGACGCGTCAAGAAAATTATTATAGTTGATAAGCTTGAAGAGTCAATTCTTTTTTAGTGGAACAATCGAGGATATGATCTCGCGAAATGGGCGGCCAACAAGTTCACGCATATCTCGCCGGTTTGGCTGCAATTCAAGCCGCAAACAGCCGACATGGCGGCCAGCTGCCGGATCGAGGGCACGCACGACATTGATCGGGGTAAGCAGCTATATTTAAAAAAATAAATATATTTTAGGCTGGATGGCCGATATTCGAAAGAACAACAGCGAGATCAAATTCGTGCCGCGAATTCTGTTCGACCAGTGGCACGTCGACGAGTTGAAGCAGTTCCTATTGAGCGAGACATGGAGCCAGCGATGCTTGAATGATTTGCTCAACTTTTTGCAGGTAATAATGTAGTTTTTTTTTCAAATTGTCGCCATCCCGTTTTAAACTTAAATTCGTGACGGGTTCTTTCGCATTACCGGGGGGGGGGGGCAAGTTTTTTTTCTTAGGATGCAATTTTCTTAACTATGAATAGCGTAGGAACATTGTAAATTTTTTAAGTTCAAAAAATATGGCTTTTTCGACAAACAATAGCCGTTTTTAGCCGAAATTTCGACTTTTTGAAATTCCAAGGTTTTTAGATAGCTTTTCTAGCTGAAATAGAGTTTCCTTTTAATAAAAACATAATTAAAATACTTCCGATTAGGTGAGTAGGCACTTCTAGACCAAAAGAAAGAAATTTGTCCCCCCCCCCAATAATGCGAAAGAACCTCGTTACTGTTTCGTTTTTTTATGCTATTGAAATAAACCGATCATAGCAATAATAAAAATGTGTTCAGCGAAACCAATTTGACGGAGCGGCCGTCGAACTGTGGATGCAGGCGCTGAGCGTGGGCCGTGAAGCACCGGGGTACCTAATTCTGGCTACGTTCAGTCTTTAGTTTAGGTACCTAACCGAGCTGTTCAACAAGTGGGGCGAGGAGTTCCACGAGCGCAATATGCAACTCATCGTCCCCGTTGGCGCCCCGTTGAGCAACAAAATGTACGAGATCCTTGAGATTTTAAAGAGTTGCTCAGGGAAATGACCGGCATCTTCACGCCCGACATGTTCAAGATGATGCCGAATGTTGATTATGTTCAGGTAATACCTTTATCTTTTTAAATGTTATCGGAACTTTAGGTTATGACATACGATTACCACGGCACCATCGGAGTCGCGCCCTATCCATGGGTGGAAAATACGATCCGGCTTTTGGTTGAGGTAGTTGTTGCACGTTTGCTCTCTAATGTGATTCTTAGAATGTACCAGAACGGGCGAAGGATCTGATGATCGGACTAAACCATTACGGATACCTCTACAACGATCAGCAGATGGATCCGGTGCAGAGAGAACGGTATACCAAAATTTTAAAAACATCTGGTTTTTTCGCCTTATCGGGGGACCAAACTTTTTTGTGTAAGTCTAGAAATCTCTGGTAACTGAATCCGAAGTATTTTTTATAATGCTTTTAGTAAAATATAACTTTATTCAACTAGAAAACTATGGAAAGACTTTAAAAATTTTTAAGGCCAAATTTTGGTAAAAACCGGTCTTCTTTGCTCAAAAAATTCGATATTTTTTAATGTTTTCTGAAAAAAACTTCTAAGGTTTTTAGGTGCAGGAATAAAAAGGGTTTAGAAACACTTCCTCTATTTACAAAATTCGATCCTATTTCACCTGAGAAACTACCTAAAAACTTTCAAAAGTCGACGTTTTGGTCAAAACCGGCCTATTTGGTCGAAAAATCGGTATTTTGGTATTTTTTTTATGTTTTACATACAAATTTGTAGCTTTTACGTGTAGTAATAGTAAAAAAACACGGTTTTGAAACACCTTCGCTAATTATTGGAAAGATTGGAGCCTAAGAAAAAAGTGGTCCCCCCGATAATGCGAAAGAACCAAACATCTACATTTCCCTAGATTCCTTGAAAAGTTGAAGGAGAAGAATGCCCGATTGGAATGGGACGATATTGTCAAGGAGCATCGGCTTATCACCAGGTTCAACAGTTTTTCCTAATACTATCAAATATTTAGTGAGGGACGTATCTATTACCCGAGCCTGACCAGCGTCGAGTCGAGGATCAAGCTGGCCAAGGCGTACGACGTCGGCATCGCCATTTGGGAGCTGGGGCAGGGGCTCAACTATTTTACACAGGTTTTGTAAGGGTTTTTTGATAGTCATTTTTCTGATTATTGTTGTTGATTTTCGCTTGATCAAGGTTTACTCTCCTCCGGGTTTTTATTTAATTTATTCGCTGTGATGATCGTCTTCGTCAAGGTTTTGAGGTTCTGGACTGTTAGCGGGGGGCGGGGATTTTTAGCAGGGGAAAAATTTTGGTTTTTTTCACCTACCTGTTGATAATATATAATGTATTTTTATGGTTTTTGATTGCCGGAAAGTTATAAAAAAGGTTATAAAATATTTTTTAAATTTTGTAAATTCGAAAATGTTGACTTTCTTTTAATCATTTTCCAGACATTTTTTCCAAAAATTCAAAAATGTTTGAAAAATTTCATAACTTTTTCTATATTTTAGATCTAAAAACTATGTAAAGTTTTACAAACATAATAATTACTGGCAAAATTTGAGCCCCCCGCGCTAACAATCCAGAACCGTCCTTCATTCCCATAAGTCAAGGCCATAAATCAGTTTATCAGGTTTAACAGACATTTCAAAATACAATAAAAAAAACAAATACCCAGTGGTCACTGATCGCAGCGAGATTTCTAGCGTACTAGTTCGACTAGAGGTTCATCATGGTTTATTTGGATTGGAAGCTGGAGGCCGACTGGGAGAATGATGTGCCCAAAAGGCTTCTGGCCGTCGAGTGGGGTGGTGAGACGGGAATCGCGCTTTCGCCAGACGGCTTGATGGCCTTCGGGGCGTTCTAAAATGCGTGGTAAACTGAGGTATGCGTGTTTTAGGATCACCTTATGATCGCCAAGCATTTGCCGCTGGACGAGGGTGGCGTAGGTGCCGGGTTGGCGAAGAAGCTCTTCGTGCGTTCCTTGTTGCTCCACGACACCCTGAGAAAACGTCAGAAATGTTGAAGCTAGTTCTTTTACAATTAAAATAATCATAAAAACGGAAAATAATCGATTTTCGGCCGCATTTTAGCGTTTTCAAAAGATCACAAATTTTCGAATTTCAACAACGTTTAAGTAAATTTTTCAAAAAAATGCTTTTTTTCTTAAAGCTTGAATTTCGTTGTTGTCTAATTTAAATTTGGCTTCAAGCTAAACTTGAAGCTTCAAAACCAGCAAAAATTTTTGTTACTTTCTAGCAACCAAAGCCTGCGAAAAACATTCTAAAAATACCTCTTTATTGTCTAAAAAAGTAGGCATAAACAGAAAACCGAAAAATTAGTTTTCCCCCTGCTAACAGTCCAGTACCAAGTTTTCCAAATAGCTTTTAATCTGGGGCATAACTAAATTATAATAAAACGCTATCAAAATCCGTCCGTTTTTACAGGCTTATTCCTTTTTTTTTCAAAACATTACCTTATTGATGACAATAATCTTATCAGCCTTCTCCACAGTCGACAGTCGATGCGCAATCATGATCACTGTCTTTCCTTCCAAATTCTTTGAGATGGCTGAAATTTTCGTGGGTATACTAATTAAAACGAATGAAATTTAATTGAAATTCTACTAATAAAAATTATGCTCGGATAACCGACCCTCCTGGACGACAGACTCGCTCTCTGTATCCAGCGCTGACGTCGCTTCATCGAGGAGCAGAATGGCCGGCTGCCGGACGAGCGCCCTCGCAATGGCAATTCGCTGTTTTTGACCTCCTAAATCCGATAAGACATTTTGTTGCCATTTTTTTTGAACGAACCGGACATCTGGCTGCCCTTCTCGCCGACGTTGGTCTGGTACTGCTGCGTCGTTTGAACGATGAAGCCGTGGGCGTTGGCCATTTGGGACGAGGTGACGACGTCTTGCTCAGTCACCTAGGTTTTCATTCGAGAAAATATCTATTAGGTTCTTTTGCATTATCGGGGGCGGGGACAAATAACTTTTCTTACGATTCGTTTTTTTGTAAATATAAATAGCGGAAGAGTTTCTAAACTGTTTTTACTATTTCTAAACGTAAAAACTTTATAAATATTTATTAAAAAATAAAAAATATGGATTTTTGGTCGAAACTGGCCGTTTTTGAACAAAAAATTATCTACAAATTCAATTTAATTGTTAATCTTTTTGAGTTTTTATTAAGATTTTTACCTCACAACCATAAGCAATATTCTCTGCCACAGATCGAGCGAAGAGGATTGGCTCCTGGCCGACAAGGGCAATCTAGAAAACAAAATCCACAACCTAAAAACGCGTACTTTTTGGTGAATGTAGTGGTGTTCATATTCGTCGATTGGCACGCCGTCGATAAGGATCTAAAGTTTGTAGTTAAATTTTTATTTTTGTTTTTTAAACCTGTCCGGCATTTGCCAAGTAGAAATTCTCCAAAAGGGCGATGCACGAGGATTTTCCACTGCCAGACGGGCCAACCAGGGCCACCGTTTGTCCAACTTCGGCGGTGAACGAGAGGTCCTTAATAGATTAAAATCAGATGCATTATAAAATTTAATAAAATTAACTAGAAAATTTACAGAATCATTTATAAAGGCTTTTTTAGTTTCAAAAACATACACGCAAAATCGGCAGTTGAGGCCGGGTCGGGTAGGCAAAGTGGACATTCTTGAATTCGATTTTGCCCCTAAAGGAAATAGAGATAAAAAAGTATAACTAAAAACAATAAATAAATAAAAACTGACGCCAATCGCTCGGGCTTCAGCTTGCCGTGGTGTTGGATGGTCGGCTCGCGGTCGATGTATTCAAATACCTGAAATTTCAAAAGCGTAATAACAGAATTAAATCTTGCTTATTCCCATGCAAAAATATTATCTCATGTATATAAAATAAGAAAAGTTACACAATATCTAAAAAATCTCCATTAAAATCATGTTTTTCCAGATTTTTGTTATACACACCTTCCTCGAGGCTCCAACCGACTGCATAAGCCCCGTCCACACTTCTCCCATCTGCCTCAGATTATCGGCCATTTGCATTTGGTAGAGCAGGAACGAGACGAGGAGGTCAGACTGAAAAATTGGTGCCAAAAAAAGAACAATTTCTACCTTGAGCCTGCCAACGAGCACCAAATGACCGCCATACCAAAGGACAGCGACGACGATGAACGTTTGGAAGAGCTAAAGAGATTCGTTTTATAGAAAAAAAGAGTAAAATACCTCAGAGACCCATAAAAAGCCAACATACGCGATGGCCTTTGTTCTGGTCACGTTTAGTGTGTCTGTCAGCCTTTGGTAGAATCTAAAGGAACCTATTTTACTTTTATAACTTTAACGGGTACAAAGATTATATTATTTTTGATGGTTTTTATACGCCTGAGAGATTCTATAATACCTTTTTTAACCAGCGCCCAAAACCCGCTTCGCGGGCCTTGGGCGGTAATGGTGGGTTTGCATGAGAAATTTGACTTTCCGGTAGCTCGGGTCCTTCGGATCCCCCCCACCACACGCGCGCGCGTGCAACTCGCAAGAATGAGGAAATTTGTTTTTTTTTCACATTATGCAAATTAGCCCAAAAATGAATAAAACCGCTTTAACTTTGTAAAATTGTATTTCATCGAAATTCTGAAAACGCCATCGGAAAGAGAAGGGTCGATTCGCCCAAGTGACAAAGCATCAGCGCCTTTTATCCAGGGGAAGGCCCTTAAATCGGGCCTCGAAAGTGACATCCACACACACAAAGATACACGCCAAAATTATATAAGGTAGGATAACCTACCGGTCTCCTTCATAATTTTCACAAGCAAACGATCGGACGGTGCGCATGGTGGAAATCACTTCCTCGGCCACATCGTTCGATTGCGCGACGTTATTCTGCGTCTTCTCGGAGAGGTACTAGAATTTTGGCTAAACCTCCCTGGATACCAAAACCCACGTCATAATACGTTCCGAAAATCTTGGACGCTACAAAGATGATTGGGACGAGGATGAAGGTGATGAGCGAGAGACGCCAGGAGAGCGTCATCATGAAAAGCATCGAGCCGACCAGGCACACCACGTTTCTGAAGCGATTAGAAAATGTGCAAAAACCTCGAAATTTCTGTAATTTTGCGTAAAAACCCGAATTTTCGAACCAAAATAACAATTTTTAAGAGAATGAGTGTAAAAAGAGAGTTAAACACAATGCAAAAACAAATCCGCTATGTATCTAAAAAAGGCACGTAAAAGTTTCTTGGCCCAAATTGCAGCCATTTGGGTCGTAAAAGATAGATTTTTCAACCTAGAATTGAATTTTTATGAAGTTTTACTGCTGAGAAATCGTTAGAAACAATGCTCAAGCGAATTTGTGACAACCGCAAATCCTAAAAGAACCCAATTTTCCAACCTACCGGAGAAAGACGTTGACGTTCATCGCCACAGTATCTGACATCGTTTGGCAATCAGAGGCCAAGCGCGACGCGATCTCACCTAAAACGAGCCTGGAAAATCGAGCTTAATCTCACCAGTTTTGTGCGCATCGAAAAAGGCGACATCCTGCTTGACCAATGCCCAGAATAAGTCGTATCGCACGGAACGGGCCACTCGTGAGTAGGCGTATTCGAAAGAGCCGCCGCGGAATCCGGCGCAGACACCGCTAAATTCAGAAAGATAAAAACGCAATTATGCATACCTGACGAGTGAAATAACAGTCATCGTATAAACGGCCTGGTGGAGATTGTCATACGATTTCGTCTCGACGACAGTTGCGATAACTTGTCCCGTGTAGTATGGAATAAAGATGCGGGCTAAACATCGTAATTAGGGTTGAACCGGAATCGCGGTTCTTTCGCAGTAAAAATGATGAGAATGATGGGACATAAAATTTTTCTACAACTCTAGAAAGGCCTAGTAATTTAATAGGAAGTATTTTACTAATGTTTTTAGTGACATAAAACTATAATTGAACTAGAAAAAACCTTCAAAAGTTTTCAACAAGTCGACATTTCCGTCAAAAACCGCCATTTTCGGTCGAAAAAGCGATCTTTAATTTTTTTGAATACAAATTTGTAAAATTTTTACTTCTGCGTAGAAAAAAAAACAGTTTTGAAAGCCCATCAGCTATTTATATTTATAAAAGCTAGATACTAAGAAAAAAAAATTATGCCCCCCCCCCCCCGCCACCGATAATGTGAAAGAACTGGAACCGCACTTACTAACTGAATACACAAACAGGAACGTGAATCCAGACAAATGCCAGAGCCACTCTTTCTTGCAATACTGCAACAAGCGCAGCATCAGCTCGGCCGTCTGTTTCGGTGCAATTTCTCCATTTTCCTAAAGATACTGTATATCTTTTGAGCCCAAAATACATCAAATTCGTCCATCACCACGTAGGAGGAGGGCGTGTGCGCAAAGTAGGTTCTCCACGAAACATCCAGGATAAAGGTGCCAACGAACGACCAAACAAGGGCCAGAATGTCCCCGAAGGGGAGGACTTCGCCTAAAACCTTGGATATCCGTATTTTTTCAGTGAGATACCATCCTTCAGCGGCTCGGCGAGGAGCAACAGCTTCGTCGGCGACGCCGCGTACATGAGAATGCAGGCCGAGTTTGAGACGGAATGCCAGGTGGCCAGCGAAGAACTTCTAAGCAAATATTTCGCGCGCTCCTTCAGCCACCCACCTTCCACCATACGCTAGACATGCTGGCGCGTAGAAAAAGAAGGACCGCGCGACGGCTAGCAGTAGGAAATCAGCCGTCGATGTGAAAGGCGAATAATTGCCAATCTAAACTTCGCCAAGGTCTTCAAAATCCTGAAAAAAACCAGCAACCTGTTGGTAGAGAGAATCGATTGACAGCGGTCCTGAGTGGAGACATGTCGCTAGGATTGTTATCTAAATAAAAGAGCTTCTAAGGTACATAAACACTCACCGTAAAGTCTAAAATCGACAGCACCACCCCGACGGCAAGTCGGCTGTTGGCCGTCGCCATCTTTTACCCGAGCCTAGGATTAATATAAGCGAAAGGCAATGGAAAAGTAGTAGTAGTAAAAGTAAAAAAAGAGTTTTAGAGCAGTTCCCAGAAAATTTAATAAAAAGTTCTGCGTTTTTTGTGGAATATTCTTCCCAAAAAGCCAGTCGATTCGATAAGGCGACGGGGGAGTCGCGGCCGAAATTAGGAAGATAGGCTTCTCCGCACCAAGATAACAGCGGCCACTCGGCGCATTCGCTCGGTCGGCTCCTGAATTTTGAACCTGGGGGGTTTTAGAGCATATTTCGGGTGGTATGTTCATCCTGTTGGGCAAGCCAACGTTTGGAAATTTTTATTCAAACAACAAAAAACTGTGCATAATCCTGTCACCTCTAGAAAGATTTACATTCGTAAAAAAGCAATCGATTTGCGTTTTTCATTGGGCTGGCTCCTGCTGCTCTTGCGGCTCTGGTTCCTGCGCCTCGTCGAGCCACTGGTTGACGCGCTGCTTGACTGTAGTAAAACTATCTTCATCATCGGGCTGGCGAATCTCCTAGATCGGTAATTATCATGAAGAATCGAGGATCCCTACCACTTTTTTACCATTCCTTTCAAGATCGGCCACATCAGCTGTTACATCCTCCGATGGCTCGGTCTGAGAAAGGGAACTCCAGTTCAATGATAAAATTACCTTATTGATAGATTTCATGCCGGCCACAAGCGGAGCAGGTTGAAGATTTGGGATATAGAAGGTTGCTAAAAACTACCTAACTTCATAAACGATGAGAAACAACCTTCATCAGTTCCGGACGAATTGTTCACAAAGGTCTGATAAAACTGACGATCCCGGTATGCTGCGAGTGCTCGTTGCGCATCTTCCAACACTCCATCTTGTCTTAGTTTCTCGACAAGAGTCTTTGCCAGCTAAATGTGTAGAAAACAATGATTAAACCTAGATCTAAAAACCACCTTTTCGGACTGAGTCTGCAAGATTTTCGCCAGTCTATCTTGTTTCCGCTGGACATGCTGGATTCGTTCCTCAAAACGTGGGAGTTTTGTTGAAAGGAATGAGTACCAGAATTTGATCGGCATCAGCAAGTTCGGCCATCAAACGTCAGTTCCGGCACAAATTTGAGAGTTTCGGTGAAAAATCGAAAAGAATTTTTGGATTTTTCAAACCGATGCTACGAAGGCTACAAACAACGGCAGTGCGGAATCGAGGCGGAAGGTACCGTACTAGCCCAATCCGCAACAGAAATTTCGCGTAAAAAGTTTAAGCTCCTTTCTAGTATATACGTTTTATATTGTTACTTTGTAACACTTTTCAAACATATTTGAAAAGTATTTTTCTGAAATGCCAAAATAATGGTTTTTTAGTGCTTGAAAAGCTTTGATCAGTGATGACAAATCAACAGCTTTTTTAGGGTTTGGAAAGTATTTATCGGTAATGCGTAATATCAGTGTGCAAGTAAGTGGTTCTGTTGGTTCAAGTATCGTCGAGCTTCGCCCTCTTCACTCCATATGCGGAACGTAGGCGGTTCGTGGCATGGCGGCCTGCTTCTCGTAGTAGCCCCCCTTGCCATCCAAGCTGCCGGTGTCCGACTCGTAGCTGAAAGGTTCTTTTAGACCAGAAACCCGAACGGCTGGATTTACCCAGAATCGTATCCCTGGGCGATGTCGAGGTTCTGCTTCGGGTCTCTCGTCTCGAAACGACCGTGGTTAGAGCGGGAGCGCTTGCTGTAGGGTAATGTACTCAGAATTTTCTGGGTACGCACCGGGATTTGCTGACGCTCCTGCTACGGCTACGGCTACGGCTGCGGCTCCGAGTGACCGATCGGGAGCGGCGGGCGCTAGGCAAGGCCCAGGTGACCGATTTGCGCGCCAACTCATCAGCCTGAAGCAATGGAAGGTTAGCGCTTTTTCGGGTCTTGATGGTGAGCGGGGTGTGCTAATTTTGGCCTATCTCTCGTACGGTCGTAGTAATATTACACTTTGCAAATGTTGATTTTTGGCTAAAACGCAGCAAAATGGTCAACAAATTCGGTTCTTCCGAATTTTTGATAAAAATTCGGAAAGTTTTGACGTAAAAACACATCCGCTATTTATAATTAAAAAATGGACCGTTAAGAACAAATTTTTGCCCCCCCCCCCCCCCCCCCTAACAGTCCAGAGCCGCTTTATATACCTCTGCCCCACCTTCTCATTGCCCGGATCACCGGCGTGCGCTTTGACGTGCTGGAACTCGACGCCGTGCGGGAAGACGGCAGCGATGCGGCGCAGCTCGTCGTATCTGGCATTGGATGATAATCGCTTGGAAGCAGGGGCCAACTCGTTGGCGAAGCATCGATTTCCTTGCAAGCGCATCGCCGTGATCAGGGCCAGGTAGTCGGTGCGGAGGATGACGAATTCATTGCTAGAAAAGGTTTTGAGTTAGGGAGTTTTGTGTCCAACCGATACTCATCCCAGGCGATCAGCCGGCGGAGGGCCGTCTGGGCGGCGATGATCTCGGCAAGGCCGCTGTTGTGCTCGGTGACGTCGAGGGCTTTCGAGCTGTAGTGGTGATGATAATGGAATAATTTGGACGGGGGTGGGAATTTTGATTTTGACATTTTGAATTTTCTAAATTTGGTTGCCCAGATGGGTACTGAACTGTTAGCAGGGGGACTAATGTTCCCCAGTAATCCTGTACGGCCCCCAAAACAATTTATAAGGGATATTTATATAATACAAACTTTTTCGATGTCAAAAGCTCGTAAAAAATTTGGGCATATATTTTTGGTCAAACATAGTAAGAAAAACGGCCAATTTTCGACTTGCGATTCTTCCAAAAATTTTTTGGGACTTTCACTATCAATCAATAAAAATCAACCAACCTACGGAAAACGTTATAAAAATACAAATGAAACTACATAATAACCATCTCAAAAAATCACAGATTGAGCGGGTGCCCCTCGCCGAAGAAGATGCCAATTCCGGAAGCACGATGGGAAACACAGCTCCCATCCGTATACACGATGACAGTCTTCGGCGGGAAATCTTCATTGTGCGGTGGCACCTCACCTTCGGGGAGCGGCGGAAAGCCGAGAATGAAGATGCTTCCAACATTCCGTAAATTGTCTCACCATAACTGCTCCTCGTGTAGCGGATGGGGATGCACGTGCCGATCGAGGTGGTTGAGGTTGACTTTAAAAAAAGTTTTTCTAGAGAATTCCTGAGTACCTTCTCGGAATCGCGTAGGGAGCCGGCGGAGGGGAGGCGGATGAGGGAGGACGAGGTCGAGTCAGTGGAACGGGTAAATAGTCGGGCGATGCCGTTGAGGAGACGTTGCATTCCAGGTCAGTCGGTTGGTAGGTCAATACGTTAGTAGAAATGATTTTTTTAGGCGGTGATTTCACGTCATTTCAACGTATGCAAATGTGGAAATTTTAAATCCATTTTTAAGTGTGGTGATTTATGATTTACGTTTATGTAAATTACATTATTTAGAAAGTAGCATTTCCGCGCGCGTTTGTTTCTTTTCAGAAAATGCTAATATCGACGTTGTAGACAGTTTTTCAAGCTGCTCCCGAAGCTATATTTTACGGTTATGTATGTCCGGTTTTCCAGGAGTTTCCGGAAGCCGGAAGCAAGAAAGGCGGAACGTTCCCCTTCCGGGGCAGAAACGCGTTTTTAAAGCAATATTTTTGTAGGTGTTCTATTTTAGCATTTTTTAAGGTCTTTGATTATCTAAAACAACGTTTTTAGAAGGATTTTTGTAGTTTTCATCTGTTAACCTTTTTTGAGCCGATTTTTATCTCTAAAATGCGCTTGGGGTTTTTAGTTTATAAAGCCGAGAAACATGCCGCTGAAAATTTGGGTGTAACGATTCATTTTTTATAAGTACTTTAAAGGATTTTTGAAAGTTTTTTTTTAGGTTTGAAAATTCATTTTTCAGGCTTCATTCGACGTATCCTTTTTCCTAAAACCCGTGATTTATATCCAACCCTAATATCTCTTGGTTTATTAATATTTTCCTTTTTTTCAGACGAAAGCCGATACAGTACGACGCATTGTAGAGTGACAGTTCGCGAGTTGGTCGAGAGTTGATGGTAGCTGGAAGTGGGCAGCAACGACGGGATGCGATGGATCGGATTTCCGCCAGACATTGCCCGAGTTGCCCGGTCAATTGGGGGCCTATCTGGCTGCCATCCGGGGGTCATCACAGATACTGTGGCATGTGCAGGAGTATTGTCCAATTTTGGGTCTGGGTTGTGTTAGTTAAAATAAAAAAAATAATTTTAAGTTATCAAAATAAAATGTTTTTTCGGTTCTGGACTGTTAGCGGGGACTTTTATGGAATTTTTCGCAGTTGTTTAGTAATAGCATTAAGTAATATTAATAATAAGTAATACGGTATTTTTAGCACTATTTAGTCGCTAAATATTCATTAAAATCGGGACATTTCATAAAATTTTGACTGTTTTAGCAAAATCAGAAGTTTTCTGAAGTTGTAATAGATTTCTTCGGAACTTTCTAGACTTTAATAGGCCGTAATAGCTATACAAATCGTGCGGGAGAATAGGTGGGTGGACCCTATGGGCGATTGACCATAGTCAGATGTGCCCCCCTCCCCCGCTAACAGTCCAGTACCTTTTCGGATATAACAAAATCCAAATGACAAGATTTTGAGGTCTTTAACCCGACAAATCCAACTTTTCGACCTCAATTCGCGGATTGGATGAAATGAGGGGTAGCCCAGAAGAAGCAGAAGTCTGGCGATGAGACATCAATTGCCAGCCTCCGTCGCAATATAAACAATCGAGAGGGCTTGAGGGCAATAGGGGAATGGAATGAGAGTAACTGTGGAGGTATTGGAGGCTTCTCATATGGAAACCCAACAAAACAAAGTGTCGATGAGTCAGCACGCTGAATAAAAAATAATTAAATCCAGAAACGAACGGTGTGCAATTGTCATGACACAGCTGCAAGCTTCTAAGGAAAGTTTTTTTGTCGGGTTGTAATCGCTTGGAAATTTTGGTGTTAAAGCCGACTTGCAGAGCTTAAGCTTGGGGTTAAGCTCAGGCTTCGCTGGGGTTTGGCTTGGCCTAGGCATGGCTTACAAGGGAAGGGCACGTGGACGAAGTGGAATTTCGCAAAACCCTCGCTTCGTGACCACGTGGACGAAATTCCACTTCGTCCACGTGCCCTTCCCTTGTTAGGTTTGGCTTAGGCTTGGCTTAGGCTTAGGCTTGGGCTTACGCTTAGGTTAGGCTTGAGCTTGGGATTTGGCTTAGGCTTGGTTTAGGCTTAGGTTTTTGATACAATCTCGTCGAAAACCAGCGTTAATTTGGTCGAAAATGTTAATTTTTTGTGTTTTGATAAAAATCGAAGTTTTTACTTTAGTACTGGTCAGAAAAAAACAGCGGAGAAGCCAGACCCGTGTTTGACTAAGCAAAATTGGTCCCCCCGATAACGCAAAAGCACCCATTTGGCATTTAGCCCCCGACAACTTGATGGCCCACAGACCCTTCCTCCCGCTCGCTAATCTACTGACGGCTCAAATGTGGTGCTCCTCCTCCCCCTTCTGCCCCGCTTCGGCGATAATCCCCCCCTACCGTACCCCTTGCCATGTGTGTGGATGCTGCCCGCCTCCATTTCCCCGGCTGGTGGTGGCCGCCCGAGGCCATCCCCAGCCAGCCAACCATCCATTGACCCCCGCCCCCCTAATAGTTGGCAGTCGTTTGGAAAGGAGTCGCTCTCCTTCTCTCTGTCTCTGTTTGTAGCAATGGCCGATCTGAGGTATGTATACATTTTTGCTGCAAATAAATAAATAAATAAATAAATATTTACACACCCAGGAGGGCTCTCCGCCCTCTTCGTGTCGTTTACAAATCGGGTAAGGGGGTGCCGCTAGCAGTCTCGCGAAACAACCTGGCCCTTCTAGAGAATTCCTAGCGTTTTATGGAAATTCCATCGATAATCCTGATAGCCACAATGCCGACGGCCAAAATCCCGACAAATTTTCGGCTCCAGTTTGAGTCACACGCCTTTTAAACAGCTTTTCAAGTCGGGAGTGTGGCTGTCCGGATTTTGGATTTTTCCGTTTTAGCGACATCTTGAAACCGTGAGTACGTATCTACGCGTACCTAGAGAAATTATAGGGTTTTTGGAATTCCAGCGATAATACCGACAGCGAAGATGCCGACATCCATAATACCGACATATCTTTGCGCTAGCTTGAGTGCCACTTTTTTCAAATAGCTATTTCCCACCTTGGGATTTTGGCGTCTCCGGAATTTGATTTTCGGGATTTTGGCGTTTTCACGTCATAACGGAAATCGGGTATTCATTGCCTCGTTGCAGTGATTTCAACTTTATCCACCACCATCACCCGGAATCGCCCAAGGATGAGGACGAGGTATGAGCTCTTCTACGAGTTAATTCGGTTTTTTTAGCCGATGCCACCATCTCGACCCCATCACCGTCGCCACCACACCAACGGACGTGGCAAACGACAGGAAAAGCCGCCGTTTAGGTTTGTGCTTTTTGTTCTGAGTCCAGAAATGCCTGTAACTGCATAGGAAGTATTTTGTAAAGTGTTCTAGGTAAAACATCTATCTATAACATCTATAACTCTATTCCAACTAGAAAAGCTATCTAAAAACTTTCAAAAGGCGAAAAATTAATAAAAACGGCAATTTTTGACCGAAAAATCGATATTTTTGGTATTTTCAATCCAAATTTGTAAAGTTTCTGCGTTTAGGAATAGGAAAAAACGGCTTAGAAAACACTTCCGGGATTCAGAATTGAAAAATTCGCTCCTAAAAAAGTTGTGGCCCCCGATAATGCTAAAGAACCTACATTTTGCAAAAACAAAACTCGAAGAGGACACGGCTTTTGAATATATTGAATTCCGTCCCCCTAATTCGATGATTTCAGCTACATCTCCTTGATCGCGATGGCCATTTCAAATAGCCCGGAAAATCAGGCGACCCTGGCCGAGATATATTCCTATCTACAGGTACCTTTGCCGAAACACGTAATTCGTATATATCTAGGAAAACTACGACTTCTTCCGCGGCGACTACGTCGGATGGCGCAACTCGATTCGCCACAATTTATCCCTGAACGATTGTTTCGAGAAATTGCCGAAAGAAGCTGGAGATCGCGGTCGGAAGGTAGGCACCGCGCTATCCAATTTAACTTCATACAATACCCTCCCCCCCACCCCCACAAAAAAACCCAACGCAACTTCCAGGGCCATAAGTGGCGTATCGCACCGACGTGCGAGTTTATGCTGGAGGAGGGGAATTTCCGGCGGCGTTCAAAGGGGTACAAGGCCCGCAAGAGATATCCCTTCAACGAGCAGGTACGCTTTTTCGCTTTAACATTTTTACAATTTACAATTTCGAGCGATGCGCGTGGGTGATGTTTTTGGGGGCGTCAAATCTGAATCGATACGCTGAAATCGGATCTGGGCGCGCTGCTGGCTCGTAAAAATATAAACAGTGCAAATGTGGGGGGTATTATGTTTTTAGGGCTGGCTTGGGGCTAATGGGAAGGCGATGGAGAAAAGTCGGTTCTTTCACTTTATCGGGGGGGTACTTTATTCGGGACCAAAGTGTCGACTTTTCAACATGTTTTTAAGTTTTTAGATAGTTTTTTTCAACTAAAAAGTATGTTTACCTGAAAAGTATTAAAACACTTCCTATCAGTTTCTAGACATTTCTAGACTCATACAAAAAAGTTCCCATTAATGCGTAAGAACCCTTATCTTATTTGCCTTACCAAATAGCTGAGACCAATTAAAAACCAAAACATATTAAAGTACGAACATTACAGTCGGGGCAGTTCGAATACCCGAGCACCACTACCCTAATCCCGCCGATCGCCGACTCGATCACCTTCCAGGGCCAAGCGGCCAACACTGGGCTCGGTGGGTATCAAGCTTTAAATTTAAATCACGCACTTATTTAGACGATTCAACGTCATCTAACGAAAATGAGCAGCCCGGCTTTGCCCTCAACCAGCCCGCCGATGTGAATCAGGAAGAAAATCCGGCAGGTGAGCAAAAGCAAAAGTATACGCTTTACCATTTCAACAAAATGACGCTAAAACTAGTTTATATTTAGGCTACGGCTACTTCCAACAACCCATGTGGCCCGTTTACGATCCCATGTACTATGGTGAGCAAGAGGAGCCCATTTCTAAAAGATCCCCAAGATTTAGGAGGGGCAGCTGGCGGCTATCCGAATGTTTATCAAAATTGGTCGGACCCGACGTTGATTGGTAAATTATTAATACGATCTCCTGAATTATGAGTTTCAGCTATGCAGCCTGTCATGCTCCCCACCGGGCTCGACACACAACAATGCTGGACATTCTCAAATCCGGAATTCGTTGTTGATCCTAATAATGTAAGGCTAACGGATTCAGGCTGAGTATCAAACTTTTTTTTTAGATTCAACCTGTGATGTACCCGCTCCCCGAGCAGATGGCTGAGGCGCCTGTCCCGGTAAGATTTTTAGCAAGGAGTATATAAAAATGTCGGGTTATTAGGAAGGAGAGCCGTTCTTGGTCGGCGAAGAACATGCAGACTGCCATCTCCCCAAATCCCTCCCCCATGCTCAAGAAATGTGCACGGATGAACAAATCACGAATTTAAATTTGTATACAGATCAATTCCAAGGCTATCACCCAAACCCCATTGCGTATCAAATTGGGGATTATCCGGTTGCAGAGGTAGACTGTTAGATGCCCACTGCCCTCCATATTCCAGAAAACTAGTCCCTTTTTCATGTATCAACCCCAAAACAGCGTATGTGATTCGACAATGTGCCTTCGCTTCGCAATAAAGAATATTACTTGCTAGATGCGCATCTTAAATAAAGTTGTTTCCCCAGCTGCCGTGCAAACCTGGAAGGTACATAAAAGCCGTCCAAAATTTATTAATCACCCAAATGATCCCCAGAAGAGGGCGGTGGTGGTGAAAGGCGTATCTCAATAAATTACGATTGGGGAAAATACACAGCGGGAAACACGATCGAAGACACTTCGCGAATAGAGCAAGGTCAAATCACAATTTGGGAGGGTTTTGGAACTAAAGGCCATTCGTATTACCGTATTGCAATGTACTAGAAATTTCGTCAAAGGCCTAATCACATACATCTGGATACGTGTGCACCAATGGACTATCTCACGATCGAGCAAAGGCATGTATTCATATAACCTAGTTTTTTTCATCAAAAGTGGAAATGGTACATTTAAGTGCGACATAGAGAGAGAGGGATCTACAAGAAAGGTGCAAAAATTCAGAAGTTACGCCATCGACCATAAAGGTAAAGAACATACGTAACGAGCACAACAATAAGGCATCTGGACGGCTTCCCGTTTTGAGAGAAAACAGACACGGAGCGTTCCGCGAACAATCGGCTTACATTAACCAAGGATAGAGATTTGGGGAGCTTTCTCATTCTTCTTCATGCCGTTAGCTGGAATTGCAAACAGTGAGCAAAACATAAAGCTAGTAACCTGGCTTGCCGTTCTGGCCTGGACCCTGTCGCTTATCTTTGTTGTTGTTATTATTCTTATTGCGAGGGCGAGCAGCAATGAGACCATTGGAGGCACCGCCGGCCACGACAGACGCGTCGATACCGGAGGCGGCGAGTTGAGCCTGAATCAAATAAGTTTGAATTTAATCCGAACACAAACCTGCATGATTTTCTGGAGATTCTCCAGCTGTTCCGGGGTTAGACCATCAGAAGAGACCTGTAGCCCTCCAGCATTGATCTGGGAGAGCGGCTTGGCAACGACGGCCTGCTTCTTTTCATCTAAAACCAGGATCAATCCCCTATGATTTAGAATTACCAATAGAAACGGGCGAGATGTGTCCACCGACGCCGGAATCGTGGTCAGAGCTGATGATGCTGGAATGAGACGCTGCGTGACGGATCGGCGACGGCGAAGCTGCCGCGAATGAGGAGAAGTGTGTCCCGGTGCGTGTAACTTCAGGAACTAAAATAAAATTCTAAAAAGTTACAACAATCCGTACCGCTGCCAAACTTGTTCAGCGCATCGAAAAGCTGGGACATGTCGTACGTGAAAGCAGAAGCGCTCGCAAGCTGTTGTTCGGCTCGGCGAGCGTTGGCAAAGGCTTTTAGATCGCCAGCAACACCGGCGTCACCACGTACGGCTCCAACACGGCTCAGCAGGGACTGCAAAAAGCTGCGGTAATAAAGAAGCTACAATTTAAAGGCTTACAAAGCAATTTTCGAAAGTTCGAAGGACAAGACGAAAAAAATACCTTTGAGGTGCTCTTGTTATCCTGGATCAGCTTCTCAGCATCTTGTTGGCTGCGTTGGAGCGCGTCCAAAAGAATCTTCTCACGGTTGGCAAGGGCTTGCCGGATGGCGTCAAAAGTCGACCGGATCTCCTTATTGCCCCGCTTGCATTCTTGTGTGAATGCGGCCAGGATTTCGGAAGATTCCTGAACGATTAATGTTACTTGCCAATGCGTAGATAATAACCTTGTCGTGAGTTTTCAGCCACTCAGCATCGCCCCCGTTTTCTTTATTTGCTACGGGTGGGGCGCGGTAGCCGTTGGATTGGGCTGGCTGCTTCTTTGGTTGAGATTTCATGGCGACGGACGGCAGGACAGTCTCCGTTTTAGCTAAACGGCGATGAATTGATAATTATAACAAGAGTTACAGGAAACGGAAGGAGTCTCGGTGGTGGTGGAGGCGGTGTCCGCGGCCACCTTCTTCTTTTGGGCGCGATTCTTCTGCTTCTTGGTGGCGGCCGAGGATTCCCATTCGTCAAGCACAGCGGTCCGATCTAAAATAGTAACTTTAGAAAATTCGTAGGTTTAGAATCAATGCGTAAAAAACTTTCAAAATTCAACACACTTTCGCACAAAGCTTGGATGGTTTTCTCGACGTCCAGATCGAACGAGTGAAGGGCCATCACGATCTCGTTCTGGCCGATGCCACGCACAACCTCCTTCACCTTGGCGATCTTCTCGTTCATCTCCTTCTTGTCGACGGGTGCCATCTTCTAAAGAAATAAAATTTAGCATGAATTTAGCGTTAAAACACGGGGGAATAGCAGATCCAGCCATCAAAAAGAAGAGGATTTTGCAGGGATCAATCTTAGACATTATTTTCCATGTTCAAATACACAAAACAGTCGACTTTTCAGCAGCACTAATCAAATTAGGTCGAGATTTGAGGTCAGGATTTCTCGAGTTGGCATACGCGACGCGTCCGCCACACTACTAAGTTAGAGTCCAGACGGCGCTACGGTTCGTGTCGCGGCGGGACCACGAGCATTTCACCGGGCCCAATTTTCCCCCACCTCATTTTATTTTTCGCAGAGCCGAAATCTTTCAAATTTTCGATTTTATTTCCATTTTTTTTGCTTTGGCCTTGCTGTTCAACTAATTTTTGATTTTCAGGGTAAAGATGAGTAAGGTCAGCCGTGAAGCTCTCCTAGAAACCGTCACCGAGGTCCTCAAGGCCTCGCAAGAAAAGAAGAGGAAGTTCCGCGAGACGATCGAGCTCCAGATCGGCCTCAAGAACTACGACCCCCAAAAGGACAAGCGTTTCTCCGGTTCCATCAGGTAGCTTCGACCAGTATTACTGGTATGCCATTTATTTGGCAGGGACTCTCACCCAGGGTCTGTAAATCTTGGGGAGGCTATATGCCTAAACAAAAAACGCGTAAGCTTTATTTTGTGGGCTGGGGAGTCGTCGTTTCGGGGATCATAGTTTTCTTTTAGGCTGAAGTACGTTCCCCGCCCCCAGACCAAGATCTGCGTGCTCGGAGATCAGCAGCATTGCGATGAGGCCAACGCCGCCGGAATCCCGTGCATGAACGCCGATGATCTGAAGAAGCTGAACAAGAACAAGAAGCTCATCAAGAAGCTCGCCAAGGGATACAGCGCTTTCCTCGCCTCGGAGTCGCTCATCAAGCAGATCCCCCGTATCCTCGGACCCGGCTTGAACAAGGCCGGCAAATTCCCTCCGTCGTTTCCCACGGAGACTCGTTGACCGCCAAGGTTGAGGAAGTCAAGGCCACCATCAAGTTCCAGATGAAGAAGGTAAGCATTTTGCAATCGTCTTTATTCTTTCTGTTTTAGGTTCTCTGCCTCTCCGTCGCTGTCGGACACGTCGAGATGAGCCCCGAAGAGCTCGTCAGCAACATCTCTCTTTCCGTCAACTTCCTCGTTTCGCTCCTCAAGAAGAACTGGCAGAACGTGCGATCCCTGACCGTCAAGTCTACCATGGGACCACCCCAGCGCCTCTATTAATTTTTTTTTGTTACTTGTTTTCAATAAATTGTTACTTATTGAAATGCCTCTCAAAGCTACAGAGAAGTCATTATCCACAGACATAGCTCGGAGATACGGAGTCATTGGTATTCCGTTTAGAATGCAAGCTGAAGGGACGCCATCACAGGTCGTTGTTGTGGTTGAAAGCGGGACATCTGTAGGGGTCCTTTTCTCATAGAAATTCTTGTTAGATCATCGATGGTTTGGAGAGTTGTGCAACGGCTTCAAGCAGTCGAGACCTGCTCGCTTTTGACAATAAGTACTTCAAATGTGAAGTCGGTGTCCTGCAGTTTTCGGATGGAGCCGCTTTACGTGATTGGTTTGGGGCGACTAATCAATCGCCATTTATCGGCGCCCTCGTAATAAGGTCGGTCGGGAACCGGCAACGCGTATATGTTTTTAGGTTCGGGGAAAACGACTCTGTTGCGCATATTCAAGAATTGATTAACGCGAACTGTTTCTACGATGCTGAACAAATCGTTAGTTGGCGGGGTTTCAGTTACGTTTTTTTGCAGTACCTTGTTATGGACGCTGCAACGACGATATCTCCAGTTTTCCAACAAATTACCGGCATTATAAATCAACATTGTATTGAAACTATTGTGTTGGATCCGACGGAGGTATGTTATTTCTCGTTCTGATGTTTCTTTTCCAGGAGATGATTGAAGAAGCCGAGGAAAACGGTGAAAAATATGGACTACCCCGTCTTTATGAAGCCCTGCAAATCATCGAGTGGCCCGCAAAAACGTTTGATCTTTCCTTAATCTTGACTGGATTTAGGTTAAAACGAGGTGTAACGAATTGGGGCGCGCAGGCATCATCCACACAATTTTCCTGCAGAAAGGTTTGTTGAATTTGTATCGGCGACGGAACTTCGGTCTTTCAGGGCGCTGACGAATTCGGAGATTGGGTGCGATTTACGGAAGACGATGAATAAAAACATTTATCGGTATATGAAGTATGAATGATCACGGGGAATCTGACTAGAAAAACGATCTGTGAAAGGGGTGAAGGTGAAAGTAATCCCATTTACGATCCAATCCTTGAGCTGGGGGTGAATAAGTTTGTTTTCGAATACTGTGGCCAGATTGGTCCTAAGTGGGTCGAAATCGAAGAGCGATAATAAACGACGAATGATCACAGTCGGGTTGAGGGAGCTTGAACCAATGTACATACTGAGTGCTCGGACGAAGATCCAGCGTTATTTACATGCGAGAGGCAAGGAGTAGGCCGTGATGCACAAAAATTACATGGCTCGCTATATGATGAGGGAATACGTGACCGTAGGAGGAGGACCCAGAGAAAGAAGAATTCGTGCAAGGAAATGTCATTAAATGATTACCGAGTAGTGCAAATGGGTGAGAAAGAGAGCAGTTACATATAAGAAGAGCGGGGAATCCCCATTATTAAAATCGTCACTCAATCATCTCCAGGATGCTCCGGGCAGCAATTCTTACGCTTGAACCAGTCGTCAATGCACCTAATAAATAGGAATAGAATGTTTTCAAAAAATGCCTACGTCTTGTGATAAATGCAGAGGCATGGCAGGCGGGCAATCGTTTCTCCCTGCAGCATCTCGTCAAGGCAGATGGTACATTCGCCCTTGTCCTCGGTGAGCACGTCATCTGAAAAGAATGTATTCTGGCAACGGATCTGTTATTACCGTTATAAGTGATTTTCGGACGGGTGAAGCACATGACGAGATGAACGTCGACTTCATCGGAGGGGATTCGCTTCTGGCACACCGGGCAAGTGACGTCTTCTGATATAAATAATTGGAAGCCGACGATTAATATGATACCTAGCATGAAAAGGCCCATGGGACGACGGAGAACATGGACACGCTGGTTGCGCGTGCGCGAATTTGATGTGGAGGTGCTGCCGTGATGGCTGTGGTGCCTGAAATGAAATTGCTCGATCAAAATGGAAGAACTAGCCTAACGGCGCCCTGACGAGGCCCAGACGGTGGAAGGTGTGCCCTCGAGGGCCCGGCCTGTTCCTCATCAGAATCATCGGAAGAGATCACCCGGCTTGCACGTAGCGTCTGAAAAGCAGGGTAAACTGCACCAATTGAAAATAGAACCTGAAAAATATCTGCAGTTGAGATCACCGAGCGGCTAGGTCCACGAGGAGCAGGACGTTCACCGGCGAGGGCGGACGAGGTGCCGACGGAATTTGACCTAAAATATTGTATTACGTTAAACCTAAGATTTCATCGGATCAAATTACAAGTAAATCAGCCAAAATCAGTACCTTGGTCGATCCTCGCCGCCCACCGTGGATTGGCGTCCGCCCATTCTGACGGCTCCACGCCACGCTGAAAAAAAGTTTTTGAAAAAGTTTTTCAAATAAAAATCCAGAAACGAGGAAAAGCAAGGCCAGACTGCAGGTTCATTTTTTACACCCAAGGGACGATCATCCCCAAACCCCGTTTCGCTGCTCGCTTTTGCAAGGCTATTCATGTATTTTCCTTTGCTGACGATGATGAATTACACGCGCTTGGGGGTCAACCGGGCCAGGTTAACTAGCTGATAAAGCGATCATGAGACGGATCGGCCGTTCTTGCCGCTCACACCGCGCCGCACGGCCACACCGCTACGCGACCGTAGTATTGCACGGGCGGCGAGCCCGGGACCGCAAATCTGCTCCCGATGGCACCATGTAAAAGGGTAATAAAAGTTATTAATTTAGCGACGATTTATCATTATGTCCATTTAAAACTGGCAGCGCGCAAGGGGCTCGATAGAATCATCTATCTAGAAAGTTTACATTTTATAGAAAGGTAGCAAGAAAGAAGGGAAGTGAATAATGTCGGGGGCAAAACCGACTAAAAGTTGTAAAAAAGAGACTTTTCCCAGAAAATAATTTGTGATTCCATTCTACAACTATGACGGATATTGCTCTTATAGTAGTTAAACGGAATTAATTTAGGCATAAAAATAAATTTTTTCCAAAATTATCGACGAACTAGCCGCCTCTTTACTCTTGAAAACGCAGTAAGTATCTAGTTTCTTCCGGAAATCTCCTTTAGTCCCACCCATTGCCGAGATCGTGATGTTGTTCAAGGCCCTTTGCCCCAAATCGCCGCTCGGACTTTGCCGCCGCTTTATGGGGATGAGCAACACCTTTCAGCCGGGTTTGCCAATATTCTAATCGATTAGGATCATCGAGACAGCTACGTGATTTCCGGGCACATCCCCGCTGGCGATTATCATCGGCCCCCCTTTCAGTTCCTCACCCAGATGGGGTCGACGCAGCCGTTGTGGCATAAACATAATCTCCTCGACACGTGAACGCGCCACCCGCATAAGCCCCCGGCATTTGCCCATAAGAGCCACTCACGCCACACGCGTCTAAGGGGCCCCAATATTTGCTGCTATAGCCGTTCGCACAGCCCATGCGCTGCTTATGCCTTGCTCCTTGCGTGTTTTCCGATAACTGAACTGGTTCCGGGTTCAATTTTGATTTTTAGCCATGGATGCGACGACGGCGCTTGCAAGAGAGCGCGAATCGAGGGTGCTCTCAATTCAGTCGCACGTCGTCCATGGATATGCTGGCAACAAATGTTCCGTGCTTCCGCTGCAGGTATTTTCTTAGTTTTGAGGATCACGGCAGTTAGGAAATGGGAGCGTGCGAGCCGTGCGAAATTTCCTAATTGCCGTAAATTACCACCTTTTTTAAAAAAAACGAGCCTATTTCAACGTCTGGAATTTGCCTTTTGCCTTTTCGCCTCCCAGCACACCCTATCGTTCCATTTCAGCTCCACGGCTTTGACGTCGACTTTATTAACTCTGTGCAATTCTCGAACCATGCCGGTACTGTGGAGTACTTGACCCCAACAAGTAACTTTTGCACCCTCTTTGTTGTCGCGTACGCACTGTTTCTTTCCCCCTGTCGAGCTTCTGGAACGTTTGGAGTGGTTTTTCCTTGATTTACCCCTCTGTTGGCTATTCTTGCGAATCTAACCTAAAAAAAGAAAAACACCACTACTTTGTTGATTGGCGCACAATTGGCCTTTTGAGTCGTTGAAAGCCATTTTTTAGGGTATTCAACGGTGCTTGGGCAAAAGCTGGACGACGTGGATTTGGCAAAGCTTTACGAGGGATTGTCGACGAATCGCATCAACAATTACACGCACATATTAACGGGTTTCTCTTGTAAATCATGCCTTTATTTTCTAATTCAGGCTACTGCGGCAATGTCAAGTTTTTGGAGAAGATCACCGACATTGTAAAAGATCTGAAGAGCAAGAATCCGGATGTGTTCTACGGTGATTGATGTAATTTTTTTTTATTTCTATTTTAGTTTGCGACCCGGTGTTGGGCGATAATGGCAGATACTACACCCCGAAGGAATTGCTGCCCGTGTACAGAGATGTGCTCATCCCGCTTGCTGACGTCGTCTGCCCGAATGCCTTTGAATTGGGGTAAATATTTGAGGGGTTATTCGATCCAATTTTCAGTGAACTTACTGGCCTGGAGGTGACGACCGAGGCGGCATGTCTACAGGGTATCGATTCGCTTCATGCCAAAGGTTTTGTATTTGTCTTGGTTTTATCTTTTAGTGGCTTTTAGGAGTGAAAACGGTGGTGGTGACAAGTGGGGTTGAGGGAACACAGACACACCTTCGCTGCTACGCCTCAAGGGCGGAAGGTATTTATTGAGAAGAAAATTTACGTAATTTTTCATTTTAGAAGGCGAATTGGATCGCTATCGAATAACCTTCCCCCGGCTGCACGGACAGTTCGTCGGTACGGGCGACGTCTTTGCCGCTTTGCTGCTCGTCAATCTTGAGGATTCCATGGGCGATTTGGAAAAGGTAATTTGATAACTGCTTGTTTATAAACGGCTCTTTCGCATTATCGGTGGTGAGGCACCGAACTTTTTTGTCACAGTTTAAAAATGTCTAGCAGCTTAATAGGAAGTATTTTTGTTGGCTGCAATTTTTTTGATCTATTACAACTAGAAAAATATCTAAAAAATTTTGGAAAACTCGAAATTTGGTTCGAAAATAGATATTTTTGACATTAGGAACAGTAAAAAATATTTAGAAACACTTCCACCATTCATATTTGAAACAATCTGTCTAAGAAAATAATCCCACCCGACAATGCGAAAGAACCCGTTAATCTTTCCCAAAAAAATCTTTCCCTTTCTAGTCATTGCGTCGGGTGCTGTCTTCGATGCAGGCCCTGATCAAGCGGACGAGTGAGCACGCAAAACGTTCGTTTTTATTGACCACGCATTCACCTAATGTTTTAGAACAAGTCGAGAAGAACCCGAATACCATGTGCGAGCTGCGCCTCATCCAAAGCCGCCTCGACCTCCTCTGTCCGATCGATTGCCCGCAAATTATGATCGAAAAATTATAGTCTCCCAGCTAGGTTAGGATTCGATTTTTGCCTGTGATTACTTCGCCAGTTTGTTGCCACATTCCTTTCACTTACTATGGGACAATGATGAAGATTTTTTTGTTAGATTTTTGGAATTGTACAGTATTTTTGAGATAGATAAATTAAGGTTGGTTGGGAGAAAGAGCAGGGCAAGAAATTCTTTTAGGTCTGTGGCCATGCTTCGTGGGCAATATTAGCATGACCAATGGCTTCAAGCTGGAGGTTTTAGGGAATTTGGCGCGATCTGCTGGTTCTGTTGCCCCCGTTAGACCTTTGGAAATTGCGATAAGGCGCTGGGGAACCAGATTGATTCCCCGGGTTGCCGGCCCGTTTTTGTCGACTTACCTCCACGAAAGGGCTTGCCGAGTGAGCGATGGACGTCGAGTAGGTGTTTATTTCACTGGAACGCACCAAATATTGGGCGATCAACCAAAAAAACACACGGGGATATCCATGCGGGCAGACGGCGGGCCGATATTAATTTTGCCCATTCGCTTTCCCCGAAACCCAAAAATTTACCCGAAAAATAGACGCAACTCTGAATATCATCTACCGCCGGATGAGGGGCCTTTTGATGAGGATGAACCGCTGCTAGATGGTGAAGAAGAGCAGAAGACGGCCAGGTTTGGTAAGAGGATAGGAAGTGGTGAAGGTTTTCAGGAAATATTTTGTGATGGGGACGGCATTGATAGTTACGATTATTCTGCTATTCATCTCCACCGTCGCTTTTGCAGCCCTGTATTTCAATTTGGTGAGATTGGTGGGTGAGCTTGGTGTTGGCTGCTTTTTATGTCATCGAATACTAATACTTAGAATTCCTTAAAAAATGGGGTACTGGACTGTTAGCGGGGAGGGGGGTAATAATGAAATTTAGGCCACTTATGTAGCTTTTAACGCGGCATTTAGGTATAGAAAATTCATAAAAAAAATTAATAAAGGTTGCCAAAAATTCTGAAAGTGAAAGATTCATGAAATATCAGAATTTTCGGGTCTTAAGATTTTTGAAAAATGTTGTATAATTTTTTATCAAGCAAACCGAATATAAATTGATACAAAAATACACTTTTAAATGCTAGAAATATAGGCTAGGTAGCAGGCTAGATACCTTTATGCCCGCCAAAGCTCCGCACCCCCCACGCTAACCGTCCAGTACCAAAATCTGTACTAACAATTATACATGCTAATCACTATAAAATAACAATATTTACAATAGTAAACATAGTTTTGATGGAAAGCGGCCCACCTAGCAAGGTAAGAATAATTAGAAGCTGTTCAGGATCATGGCCGCCTGCCCCGATGGCCTCGTCCCTCAATGTCGGCGCTCGGAAAGTATTCATCAGCCGCCGTCGCAGCTGACAACGAGTATTGCTCGGAAATTGGAAGGTAACGCATCTAATGCTATAAAAATAATGCCAAATCTTCCAGAAATGCGATGCTAGCTGGCGGAAATGCCGTGGACGCGGCCGTGGCAGCCCTTTTCTGTGTCGGCATCATGGATTCGCATTCTAGCGGGCTGGGTGGAGGCCATTTTATGACAATATACAATGCGTAAGTATGGAAAGGTTATAAATAAACTTTGTGTAATTTAGTGCCGAGGGGAAATGCCATGCCATTGACGCGCGCGAGGTTGCGCCAAAGGCCGCCGAGGAGAAGATGTACGTGGATAAATGGATTGAGAGTCGATATGGTAGTTTTTGGAAGGTTCTGAAGAGTTTAAAAACATATTTTTAGGTTGGAGAGCAGTCGCTGTTCCCGGAGAATTACACGGAATGTGGACGGCGTTCAAACAGTACGGAAGCGGAAATGTAGGTGTTATTTTCTCGAAAAAAAACCGTATTTTTAGGTAACCTGGAAAAGTCTGGTTGAGCCGACGATCAACTTGTTGAATGAGGGTAGGTTTTTCTAGTTTTTTGTTGTTGAGATTTTTCGACTTTAATGAATGAAATAAATTTAGGTTATCCCACTTCGTCCGCACTCGCCGGCGCGTTGTGGGGAATGGCGAATCTGATCGACCGCGAGCCGACGATGCGCCCTTTTATCAACCCGGCCACCGGAAATGTGTATCGAAAAGGAGAGCAAATTAAAACGAGGTAAAACAAAAGCTAAATTTTGCCGAAATAGATATATTTTTTAGAACGGCTCTCCTGGAGACAATGCGTACTCTGGCCAATGCAGCAGATCCCGTCAAAGCTTTCTACGATAGCGAGATGACCCAAAAGATGGTCAACGAGTTTCAACGAAACGGTAAGATTAGCTGTTACTTTTTTTGGGGCTGGTTCCTTATCGGGGGGCGGGGGGACAACTTCGCAACTGTAATTAACGCTTTTACTAGCGCTTGGTGGTTTGCTATAACCAAAAAAAATTATAAAAGCCGTTTAAAGATTAAAAATGGACACTTTTGACCGTTTTTTATACGTTTTAGATGAAACTCGCGTTTTTCAAATTTAATAATTTTGGATGTACTAATCTAATCTACTTATCCGCTGATTCCTCCCCCCTCCGATAATGAATCAGAACCTTTTTCCACGTTCATCTTTAAGGCGGTCTCCTAACGCGTGAGGATTTCCGCGAGTACAAATCAATCATTCGCAAAGATGGCGAAGTCATTTCAATGAGGTTTCCATGTTTTAACTTTTTTTCACTCCTGATTTCAGACTTTCAAATGGGCGCTCAGTCTGCGGCCCGCCGCCGCCTTCGAGCAGCGCAGTCGCGATGGGAATCCTGAATGTCATGGATGGCTATGAGAATAGAATGCACTCCTTTGCGGACATTTCTCTGCTGTATCATCGTTTTATCGAGGTATGCTGGAAATCCTTACACAATGTCACATTTAGGCGTCAAAATTCGCGTACGCCGAGCGCTCCTACCTGGGCGATATGGACTTTAACGGAGATGCGATGCAGGCGGCTCGGAAATTGACGCAAAACGAATGGGGAAACTGGGCGCGGTGAGCTAATTAAAATATTTTAGAAAATCTGTTTTTTAGGGAACGAATTGGGGATAGGACGCATCCGGATGCGTACTATGGCGGCAATTTCACGGCTCCACCGCAGGATCACGGAACGACGCATATTAGTGTGATGGATAGACAGGGGAATGTCGTGTCCGTGACGTCGACCATTAATTTGTTGTGAGTGTTTTAGGGTAATGAAAATAGTCTAGAAACTATACCGAAATTCCCGGAACTATAAACGAAAGCTTTTCAAACAAAAATTCGGTTTTGAAAACATGAAAAGCTATGCAAGTATAAAACTATGATTTTTCTACGGTTTTTTAAAATTGAAATAAAACAATTTGGATACATTTATTTTTAGTATGGGCGCCGTGGTGGCGTCAGAATCTTCAGGGATCCTCTGGAATGATGAGATGGACGATTTTAGTACTCCAGGTTCGTCCAATACGTATCATCTACGTAGAATTTGTTTGTTTTAAATAGCTGTTTGCTGGCTTTAATTTGGGCCCTAGCCGATTTAGTATAACGTGATTCAGGCCACCCGAACGCCTTCGGCTTCCCGCCATCCCCAGCAAATTACATTCGCCCCGGTAAACGGCCTATGAGCAGCCAGGCACCAATCGTCATTTACGACAATAATCAGCTACATGTGGGCCTATTTTTTGTTTATCGTAATTTGTACTATAAACTTTATAATCGAAAAAAGCAGAATTACTTCTTAGAGAGTTTTCAGTTGCTAGGAATTGCATTTTTCAGCGTGTGATGGGCGTCGGCGCAGCTGGGGGATCGACGATTATCACAGGAGTTGCAGGTTACAGAGAATTTTTAGTTTTAAGTTTTTTATAGGTGTTGCCCTGCATGCTCTCTGGTTAGACGCCAATGTGAAAGAAGCCGTCGACGCGCCAAGGCTACACAATCAGCTCTACCCAAATACGACGCAATATGAGGCCAATTTTCCAAAGGTTGGCTCAGCTTTGGTTTACGTTAGGCTTTGCTTACGCTTAGACTTCGCTTAGGCTCAGATATTGTAGTTAACTTCAAATTAAATAACTAATTGAATTTAGGCGTACGTCAAGGCGCTAGAAGCCCGCGGTCACAAAATGGTCAAAGTGGCCAACCTGACCGTGGTGACAGCCGTCGAAAAAGGGCCCGACGGCCAGATTTATGCGAATTCTGATTTTAGGTGAGTTTTTAAGGTACAAATATCATCCTAAACATTTATATATCATCGAATCAACCCATTTTTTTCAGGAAAGGCGAAGAAAGCCAACCGGCCGGTTTCTAGGTTTATACAATTCTGTCTTCTTCTTCCCTGCCTCGATTCGGGTATCCACAATTGCTGTGATTTTGATCGTGTGAAAGAATATAGATAAATTTTTGCGAATTTTTGGCGCTGAACACTGGATTGTTTCAGAAAATTGGACAGACAAAGAGAAACAAAAAAGTGCAGAATTCGTTAGCCATTTTAGGGGGATCCCCCGTTGGTTTCAACTACAGCGTCTCGCCGTTTCTTGGAGACGGTTGCGACAGAATTTTCGAGAGGGAAACGAAAGCTAGAAACTAGGCGAGAAGCCATCAGTCGACAAAAATGAAGGTAGCTGTGGTTGGGCTGATTTGCCTTTTGGCTCTGATTGAAGCGGCTTCGTTGGAGGATCAAATTCGTGATGTTCAGGCGGCAAAAGTCAGGGTTAAGGTGAGTCTTCGTCGTCCCGCGGAGCTTTCGCATTATCGGGGGGGGTTATCAGAGGGAGGAGCCGATTTTTTTTATAATTGTGCCTATTAACGTAATATCGCGTATTTTAATAGCGTTTTTAATAAAATTGAACTCTCTTTAAGGGGAAATTCCATCTAAAAAGTTCGAAAATTTGCCATACTTTGTATTTTTAGATCAAGATTTCTAAAGTTATTAAGCGTAGAAATAGTAAAACAGTTTTTATAGATAGTCAGATTAAAATCTTAAAAGGCCGTTCGCGAGGGGCGCGACCACTGCTTGGCACAGTTTTTTCGACCCTGTTTTTTTGACGCCATCGGAAAGAGCATGATCAAATTAGTAGGGTGGCACTATTTTGAGAATTTAAAAATTTAATTTTCGGGGTTAAACTGGGCGCTAAAGTTGCTGACCGCAACAAATTATCTCGAAAGTTACTCAACCAAATCAGTCGAAAATTTGTGACTGGGCCTGATTTTGAGTACTGATCATATCTCTAATACATTGCGAAGCTCGAAAATGACCGGAACATAGGTGTACCGCGTACACAAATTCGTTTTTCCGGAATTGCCGGAGCCTGCCGTTCGAGCGGGCGATGAGACTAGCATAGAAAGATGCGCAATAAAATTCTGCATCGGTTGATGTATCGCTCATAACCCGCCCGTTCGGCAGGAAATTGCTATAAAGCATTTACTGCGCCGAAAACCGTCCGAAAAAAACTCAAAAAAGTCGAAAAACGGTCTATTTTGAAAATGTGAAATATCAAAACACATCTAGGGCTCGAGCTGAAGCCATTGCAAAAAAGAGCAAAAAGAAATTAGCCTTCTGAGAGGGGGCCGGAATTGAACTGGCGCGAGCTCTGGATTGGTACGCCGGCACACCTGCAATACACCACGACTGGGGAAGGGGCTCCCAGGCGGATGGTCCGGGTTCGATTCCTGCCCGAAACAAGCGTCTTCTCCGAAGGCGAATTTCTTTTTGCTCTTTTTTGCAATGGCTTCAGCTCGAGCTCTAGATGTGTTTTGATACTTCACATTTTCAAAATAGACCTGTTTTCGACTTTTTGAGCTTTTTCGGACGGTTTTCGGCGCAGTAAATGCTTTATAGCAATTTCCTGCCGAACGGGCGGGTTATGAGCGATACATCAACCGATGCAGAATTTTATTGCGCATCTTTCTATGCTAGTCTCATCGCCCGCTCGAACGGCAGGCTCCGGCAATTCCGGAAAAACGAATTTGTGTACGCGGTACACCTATGTTCCGGTCATTTTCGAGCTTCGCAATGTATTAGAGATATGATCAGTACTCAAAATCAGGCCCAGTCACAAATTTTCGACTGATTTGGTTGAGTAACTTTCGAGATAATTTGTTGCGGTCGGCAACTTTAGCGCCCAGTTTAACCCCGAAAATTAAATTTTTAAACTCTCAAAATAGTCCCACCCTACTAATTTGATCATGCTCTTTCCGATGGCGTCAAAAAAACAGGGTCGAAAAAAACTGTGCCAAGCTATATTAAGGGTTGGCCGAGTCCCTCGCGAACGGCCTTTTAACTTCTAAAACCTTTAATTTTCTAGCGCTGGTCCAAGTCCCTACCCCGTGGCCAACGCCCGAACCGTAGCGCCCCGCTAAAGGCGGAAGACGATAAGGAAAACCCGGAAAAGGTATTTTTTAACTTAATTGTTGTGAAACAGCTAAACCTACAAACTATAAACCATAAACGACAAACTACAAATTCAGCCTCGCGAAAAGCGTGAAATCATCGAGTCGCGAAAGATGGGTGAAGCACCGCGTGTACAAGTTCAGGCTATTCAAGGTATTTAAGTTGTTTTTGTAAGCCATTGAATTTCTAGCAGAAGGGCCAGGGCCATTGGAGCAACCCGTGCAGCCGGAGGTATATTTTATACTTACTTTTTCTTTTAAGTTCAGTTCAATAATGTTTGTTTTTTGATGCTTATTTTACGAACGCCGATGTCTTACAGAAAAGTTACAGTTCTAAACCTCTAAAATATATGTAAAAATTTGCCTTTCCGACAATTCACGTCTACAATAATTCTAAAAATCCAAAATTCACTCACATTTTAGGTAATTGAAGGCGAGCCGGGGCGAGAAGAGGGCCCGGCGGATCGGGTACGACACCAAATATCCAGTTTTTTATTTTGCCGTGAAAACCCAATTTTTTTTATTTCTCGCACCGCACCGTTCTAGAAAGTTGATTCGGCGTGCATTGTAGCCGTGAATTCGGAAGAAAATGAGGATGAAAATGAGCCAATCCGGGGCAAGCGCGACGGCGAGGCGGAAGAATTCGATTCGTTTGAGGTGTTATATGATTTAGTTTTTTGTTTTATAGTGGTGTTTTATTTGAAAGTGAGCTTAGAGTTTAGAAACTTATTTTAACGCACAAAAATAGTACAGGGTGGCCAGAAAAAAAAGTGCCTGGTTTGCACTGAAATATCTCGCTGGGGGAAACGAATCGGACCATCGTTACCTTGCCAGAATGCTTAAATATGCTGGGTATGAAGAATAAACACAAGTTGTTTTTTACGATTTTTGACGACCCACTGTTCGTTAAGAATTTTTGAACATTTTTGAAAAAATAGAAAACTTTGAAGCTATAAAGTATGCAACTTTTGAAGAGTGATATTAAAGTGTAGGGTATCCAGATGAAGCTCTTGGAATGCGCTAGCAAATCAGTGGTAAAGATTATCGATCGGTTGAACTAGCCGTCAATAGGAGCGTTCGCAAAATCGGCACTTTTTGAAGGAATAATTCGAGATAAAATTTCTTTACCATCCGATCTTTCTGATATTTTGCAGTTAGCAATAAATAGATACATGCTACCTTTTTGCATCAAGAGTTTCAAAATACCGATCAAAAAAATTTTTTGGGACTTTGCGAATTCGACGGAATTTGTAATTTCTACGCTCCTATAGTTAAAATTATAACATGGTTATCTTTGGCAATCAGGATTACATGTAACAAGTACAAAATGTTATGGCAACAATGGGCTTTTTGTGGTCAACCGTGAATCGCCCCTTCTGGAAAAGTGCCGATTTTCCGAACGCTCATATTGACGGCTAGTTCAACCGATCGATAATCTTTACCACTGATTTGCTAGCGCATTCCAAGAGCTTCATTTTGATACCCTACACTTTAATATCACTCTTCAAAAGTTGCATACTTTATAGCTTCAAAGTTTTCTATTTTTTCAAAAATGTTCAAAAATTCTTAACGAACAGTGGGTCGTCAAAAATCGTAAAAAACAACTTGTGTTTATTCTTCATACCCAGCATATTTAAGCATTCTGGCAAGGTAACGATGGTCCGATTCGTTTCCCCCAGCGAGATATTTCAGTGCAAACCAGGCACTTTTTTTTCTGGCCACCCTGTAGAAAAATATCAGAAAATTCGATTTTTAGGCTGAGGAACCGAGGCGCGAGCAACGAGAGGCTCCGCCAAAAACGGGTAGGGTTTTTTGTAGGATCAAAAGTTTCAAAAATGGATTTTACACAGTTTTGTGCACCCAATAAAAGTTTATCGCAACCGGGAGTCGAACCCTGACCTTTTCCGCGAAAAAAAATGCAATTTTAAGCGATTTTTTTAGACATCTACGTCCGCGTGAAGCGCGATACCGAGGAGAAGCATTAAAAGACTATAAAATTGTGTGATTTTACTTTAATTTGCTTTTAAAATCCTAAATGGATAAATAAACACTCGGCACACCTTTATCCGCAAAACTGCCTGATACATCGGCCAATCCGGAAAGTTTCAAAATCGGCAAATCAGAAAGGTAAAAAATCTTAAAAATAATACTTCGAAGTGTACACGTTCGGGAAAAATAGGTGCAATTATAAAAAAGAGGAAAGGAATTGATTATTCTTTGAGCAACAGCCTCAATCTGCCAAAGCTCATACGTGGGATTTGTTCTTTTCAGCAAAGGAACACGACATGAAGGGCGCAAGGTTAGCATTTTCCGGGTTGACTGCAGTGTGATCCTTTAACGTTGTTTTTTCGTCGTTTGCAGTCAACCCCGACAAATTTTATGCGGAAGCAACGCGGGGGATTTTTACAGCAACATTTTTGGGGCGTCCGTAGGGGTTGGGGGGTTGTTATTGGCCGATCATCGTGTTCCGCTGGCGCAGATCGTTCAGAACCTGCAAAAATTGGGGTAAATATCGATAAAAATAGCAATAAGCCAGTAGCATGAATAAAAAATAGTTTTTGAGCAAAAGCAAAAGTTTGAGCGCCGGGGGAATCGAACCCTCGTCCTTTGAACTGGGAGTCTAACGCTCTGCCGATTGCGCTGAAACTACAGTGCGATCTGTAGAGCGCTTCCCCTAGAAAAACCTTAGGCGCGCCATTTCCATTTGCTGAATTTGTAGGGGTTTTCCCGGTCTGGATGAATTTTTCACTTTTCCACTCCACAACACAACGTTACAACTTACGGCCGTCCATAGGATCGGAGCGGAACTTGGGCCTAGAATTCGTGGCCTTGCTATTTTTTACATAGTTTTTCGATTCCCAGCTAATTTAAATCAATCTAAAATACCGTACCTCATCAGGGGACACTCCAAGCTTC